CCCCAAAACCCCAAAACCCCAAAACCCCATAAGCCGAATTCAATCAAAAACTGTTAAAGAAAAATGAGAGAATTTTATAATCAAATTTTATTTAAATGGACGATTCTTCATTTGTTGATGATACACTTAGAGGTTCTTTAAATTAATCATAATAGTCACTCATCAGAGCAGCTACTAAAAAGACTTTTGGCCTGAAGAAAAAAGACTCCAAAGTAGCTTAATCAATTGCAAGCTTCAAGAAAGTCAAGACTGAGGACTAAGATGATATTCATGATGCTTCTTCAAACGATTTCACACCTATAGATTAAATGTAACAGAATGATGAATTGGAAGACAATCGTATTTTAAGTGGGGATGCTAGGTAAATTGGAGCTGATTATATTGAGGCTAAGACAGTGAAAGGTCACAATGATAAAGAGCAATTCGGGTAATTAAATATCTGATAATAAAAATATTTTAGAAATCTAGAAAAATTAGGAGTCAAAGATGAATACTTAAAATGCAGGAAACGACTTAAAGTCATTGACACTCTAGGAGCAATTATTGCAATTATAAATGGTTTACTATCTTACATAGAAGTAATGAGTTTTTAGTCAATAACCCTCAAATAGAACGAATATTTCAGAAATGAAATAGTTGAAAATGGTATTATAATCAAAGAAAGCTATAAAAGTGGGCAAACAGAAACTAATCTGAGATTTATTATTATTATATTTGTAATAGTACTAGGTAATCTTTAAAGGATACTTTTTACTATTTAATTAAATAGATATTTTGATTTTCATGCACTATAAATTGAAATTTGAAAAGCTTAAAATTGAACTTAAGAGGAAGAGATCTGAAAATCTTTACAATTCCGATCTATGCCTATTCATGGTCATTGAACTTATTATCTGCTCATTCTTTACTCCTCCGTATCTTGATTACGCTTTTTCAGGGAAAATGCTAGGAGGAAAGTACATATATTCTTTAAATGATTTGATTGTTGTCGCATCATTAATGAAGAGTTACAATCTTGTGAGACTCTATTACCATTATTCTAGGTGGACTACTCCTGATGCTGAAGAACTATGTAAAAGCCAGAATGTAAAGAATATGATTCTATTCCCTTTCAAATGTGAACTTAAATACCGACCTTTCTATACCTTGTTTTTTATTTTGATTGTCACTTTGGTTTATATATCCCTAATTATCAGAATTCTTGAAATGTAAAAATTTTACTTTTTTAGATACTATATAGAACTTTTATTTCATCTGATGGAAAGACCTTTGCTTTTGAGTACATTTATAATTCAATGTGGTTAGTTATTATCACTATGACTACTGTGGGTTATGGTGATATTTATCCTCAGACTCATTTTGGAAGATTCTTTGGTGTTATCAGTTGCTTGATTGGAATGCTTTTGGTCTCTTATTTAGTCGTTGGTATGAACAGTCTATTCGATTTCACTCCTCAGGAATAGAGGGCCTATGGTAAGCTTAAAAAATTGACAGCAACTGATTATGCCATGTAAAAAGCAGCCAATGTAATTAAAACAGCCTTTAAAATCTCTAAAAACAGAAAGAAAAGACTTCACAAAAAGTTTATCTATTTCCTATTGCTTAAAAAGCATATTTCACTCTTTAAAAATGAAAATAAGATTGCTCATTCAAGACTCTTACCTACTGATTAAATGATTAAAAATTTAGAGGAAAAATTGAGAACAGACCTTCATGAGCTAAGAGATAATATATTTGAACTAGCCAACTTTGAAGAGAGATGTGAATAGATAAGGATAGATTAAGATAACTAATATAATTATTTTACAAAATTGTTAAGCACTCAGGAATAAATAGCACAAATTTTGTTGGAGTATAACAACACTATTTATAATGAGCAAGCGAATAAAATGTAAAGATGAATGATTATTTTAGATTTAATAAAACTTAAACGTTTCCACTATTTCTGATCTTTAAAGCTTTTGATTTAATTAATATCTTGCCAAATATAAGTGATAATATGCTAGTGGGGTTTTGGGGTTTTGGGGTTTTGGGG